GGGTAAACGCAATATCTAGAATAATTCAAAACAGCTGTGACCTAAATGTGACCCCAACTAGTACCCGAAAGCCCCGCGCGATGGCCGCGCTGGTTTTTGTTTACGAAAAAAAAACAAAACAAAGCAAAGGGTGCAGTGCGCGAAAGATGTAACAATGTCAAAATAATATAATATTAATCCTTTCGCGTTTTCGCGATGTCAAATCGAAATCGCGATGACTTCAATAATAGAAGTGATTGGAAGTGATTTAATGGCAGACTAAAATCTTAAAGGATATTGTCAAAAATGAGCAAATCCGCTTCAATATCCGAATCCTGCGGAATCGTCTGCACAGAAGTGTTTGACGAGGCATGCAATCCTTCGCAGGAAGGTAATAAAAGTCGAATTAATTATATAATTTTTTACTAAGTATTTATAGAATTTTGCGTTATTTTTGGTGTATTAATAGCATAACCTATATTTAGTAAAAAATCAATAATTTCCTGTTACGGCGCAACTGTTTAAGTTAGCGCCGGCATATGGAATGTATTTTTGTTACAGGAGGGTTCATATTTTATCTATTTTTAAACTCATTTATTCAATAATGAAATATGCTTAAATTTCAGTTATAATTGAACTGAAAAAATGAATGTCTTTGTAAAAAGTTTTTTTTTATCTTTTTTACAATTAAAAATTTACTTTTCTTATAATAATTGTTTTAGCTATATGTTGGAGTTTTTCACAAAATTTTAAAGAGAGTGTATAAAATATACACAATCATAATTTATACTGAATTATTATGATGAATCATAATTTATTTAGATTTCCGTCCCATTGTTACTTTTTGACTTTTTTGGCATCTACTAGTTTACATCATTTATTAAAGATAATTATTTAGTTAATATTACTACTGATACGTAAAAGTAAGCCATAGTGATATTAATGCAGTGGTTCCCAACCTGTGGGTGCGCAAAGCAAGAGGGGCCTACAGCTATTTCCAAAATATTATTTTCAAAAATAAACCAAACATTTTAAAATGATATAAAAAATGAATAGATAAATAATTATTTTTTATTTACATTTTTACATAAAAATACATATTAATTTGTAATCTGATAATTATTTATAATATAAATTCAAGTACTTATGCAATTAAATTTTTAAAAAACATTTAAAATAGCACAACATTTTTTTTATAAAAAGAGGGGGCAAGTTTGAGCGCTACGAAAAGATTGTGAGCTGTTGTATTAATTTATTATTAGAAAATAATCAAATAATAATTTTATCAGCTATCATATTACTTGCATAAAAATTAATTTCAAATTTAAGAAACTCTAAGTAACGTACTATTTTGAAAAAATAGAAAGATCAATTATTTGAAAATTCAAAAAATTGCAATGAATAAATGAACTGTTATGAAATTGATACACTCATCAGGACCCATAGGAAGTGTAGAGATCTCTCAAAAATGAAAAAAAAAATTAAAAGAAATATTTATACATCATAATTAGGGCGTATGTGATCGATTTTTTAGGGATTTTTGGACCCCCTTAGTGATACGTCGTGATATCTAGAATTACCCCTCTTCTCCCATCAAACAACCTGTATCTTTATTTACGTAAAATTTCGCGAACAATTTTTTTGAATTTACGAAAAAAACGTATTTTTTTGTTTTTTTTTTGTGAAAATCTAGGTAAAAAATAAATACACGTGATATCTTACAACACCTCTCCCTCTCCCTCGTGATTTTTCGGGATTTTTTGTCAAGACCTCTCCCCCCCTGAAAGCCTCACGTGATTATTGAACGCCTTCTTATCTATCCATCACTTTGTCTAAAATTTTCAAGCAATTTAAATTTGAGAAAAATAATTAAAATATATACACTCTTTTTGCTTTTCATCGGAAAACTGATTTAATAAATCATTTAGAACTGATGATAATTTATGATTGATATGATTTTACATTTTTTTAATTTTTTGCTTATATGAAAAATTTAGAAGGTTTTTATTACTTTTTGATTACGAATGTTGGGGTCACAATGACCCATGAGTCCCTTATAATTGATATGGCAAATACAATGCAAAAAAGTATATGAAACTAATAGATAAGTTAATGAACTTAGTAAAGTTCATATGTAATAAATATGAGAAATTATATGTACACAATTCCATATTTTTTCCAAACATAATATTTAAAACCCTCCAAATACTGGATTTTTATATATCTTTTATCAATATCGAATAATAATAATAATCACGTCTGTAAAGTTGGCATCGTCATCGTCGAACCTTGATTTTTTACGAAAATGCTATCCTTTTCACTTCTATAAAAGTTACAACTAAATTGCAAATATATTTTAAATATAACTAATATTAATCAACTTACAGAGATTGACCGTTATGCCTTGAAAATCGGTCTGGATCCTTCCGAGAAACATCTTTACCACCTAGCCAAAGAGGGATTGATGGAACCATTGCCAAAACATTGGAAACCTGTGTAAGTAAAAAAATAATTAATTAGATTGATTTACTTTATTTCAAAACGTAAGATTAGCCCTAAGTAACAACATAGATAAATAAGCAAATAATGGGTAACAATTTAAACCAGTTTATTCAACAAGCAAATGATATATTTTTATCAGATTGCCAATCCCTAGTCAGTATAATAATTTTAAAGTCTAAAGGCAAATCTTATTAGTTGAGAGCGCCATTTGTTTCATGCTCCCAGGGCTTTTCAATTCGCTATGTTTTCTGTAATAATTCTTCCATTTAAGCTGAATCATAATTTGAGTTTTTCAAAATCTAATTTTCAGCTGCGATGAAAATACTGGCGCTTTTTACTATTATAACAAAAACACTCGTCAAACGCAATGGGACCATCCAGTTGACGAAAAATATAGACAGAAGGTTAACGCGGAAAGAGCCAGATTAAAAATGAATTCAAAAATATCTTCGAATCACGAATATTATAAAAATGATCCAACATTAACCAACACCTTTCTCAAATCTAACAAATTTCCAAATACCGAACCCATTCAAAGTTTTGATGCAAAGCCAAAAAGATTAGGCCGCTTTTCTGATAAACATTTTTTACAAAATGCCAGCAAGGCTGAAGTCGTTGAAAAATTGTCCAGTGATTTAGTTGAGAAGAGCGTACATTTTAATTTGGATAAAAATTATAAAATTAGTTTATCAGAGAGTGATGGTGAATCAAAAGTTGCTTCAACAGATAGGTCGGATAGTTATGGTGAAAAGTATGATTTTGATTTTGTAAAGGACATTAAAATTTCTATGATGGATAAATCTAACCTCGAGAAAGACGTTGAAAATGGAGCATCTTCAATTTTGACCTTCAGACCTAATGCTGAAAAATTTAATAAGAATCCTTTCCAAACGGATATTGGCAAAAACACTTTATTACAACCCATTAAGAAAACGGGGTACGTGCAATCTCATGAACAAGATCGGAATGGTGCTAAATTTAAAGAAAATTTAGGAAAATCGGATAGTTTTCCTTATAACGAATCTAGTCAAGATAAATTTCCTAGTCAAGGAACTGTGAAAAGTCTTCAAAGCAGATTTTCTGTCCTGACGAATCCTTTTAAAAAGTTGCCGCCGTTAGGAAATCAAATCGGCGAACAGAAAAATGTTGAGACTGATAATTCCAAAGATGAAAAATCAAATGCTTCCAAATTTGAAGATAAGATAAAAAAATTGAGTGAAAAATTAAATACTGGTTTTGCAGAAGCCACTCGACCTGGTATACGCCAAAAATCAATGAGTGTTGATGGCGAAAGTATACAGAACGATCTTATTAAAAAAACTTTTATAAAAGACAACGAAAAAATTGTGCAAGATGACAGCATGCATTCGCTTTTGAAAAAGTTTGAGTTAAGTAGTAGTAAAAATCGCGATGAAAAGAATGAAATTGATCTGTTAGGAGAGCATGCAATTGATGAACAAAAGTCTGGAATTAGTTTATCTTATTGCAATACAGACATTGGAAGTGATAATAAAAGCAATGCAAGTTTTTCAAATCGCGATGTTAAGAAAACAGCCCAAATGCGTAGAAATTTGTTCTTCTCAAAAATGACAGAAGCGGTCAAAGCGAAGCCCTTATCCATCGATACAGATTCTGAAACTGATAGTTTAAAGAAAAACAAAAAAAGTCATAGGATTATTATAGCAGATGAAGTAAAAATATCTAAACCAAAACATTCTGAGTATTCAGAAAAGTCTATTAGGGAACCACTAAAAGCATTTCCTTTAGAAAGTGACGATTCAACAGCTTTCGACATCTCCATAAATTTATCCAATTCTGAAGACCACTCAAAAATGTCTAACGCAAGAACCAAGCATGATTTAATAGATTTCAGTAAAGATATAAACGACATATTAGACAATAACGTAGACGACATTATTTCTGAGGGTAGTTATGTCAAGCTGTTGATACCTGACAATCTAGATGCCAAAGTAGTAGAAAGTAATTCCAAAACAGTACAAACTATTCCAAAATCTAACGAAAAGAATTTAGAAACAGAAAAATTAGAAAAATCAAACGAAATCAGTAAAACCAGTTCAGACACTTCAGTTGAATCTCAAATCCAATCAAATATGCACAACATTTCAAAGCAGGATGCCAATAATATAAGTATGAAAAGTCTTCTGGATTATGATATAATTGAATTTCCCTTAGAAAAGAAAGAATTAAAAATCGAAGATGTTGCAGTGAGGCAGCTTGCCAAAAGTTCACAAACTGATTTAGAGCAGAAAAAAACTGGTCTTGAGAAGTTCACCCAGACGATAGATATTCCCAATGTCTTGGTAAGTTGCCAAATGCATGATATTGATTATATAAATGTGTTTTAAATTTATAAAGCTATTAATGATGTTTCGTTTTATATAAAAGGTATATTTACAATTTAAATTACTTTAGTCTCAATGTTGTTTGATTTTATTAATTGCATCAACATCAAAAGGTAATCAGCACGATATCCGAATAATATCTGTCTGACGGTTTATAATTTTTTAAAATCGGTACAGGATTTTTGCCAAAAATTAATCATATTTTTTACCATTATTTAGGAGCCAATTCGATAAAATAGAAATGTATCATTGCGTTGTTATGGCAACGCTATGTTAAGGTCCTTTCTTCGTATACCTTGTGTTTTGACAATTTTTAGTACATTTTATATGAAAAAAGCAGCGTAACATAGCATTGCCATAACATTGGACTATTTTGCGGCATAATTAGCCCATAAATGTGATCATTCTACATTATCACAATCATTTTTTTTAGGACGACCAGGAGCGCAAGGACAAGAAACGTCTGGAGGAAAAGTACCGCATGTTGAAAATAAAATACAATAAGTTAAAACGCAAAGCAAACGCTACTGTAATAGCAAACGATCATTTACAAAATGCGGCAAATAAAACTTCAAACTTGCCGAACGAAAACCAAACAAATCAGCAGAATCCAAACAACGGCGACTTATCAGAAAGTGACGACAATTACCGCTACATAAACAACAACAACCACAACGAATCCAGCAATAAACCAACAAAATATGAATGCCTAGAGTCTTTAAAAAAGAATTTACGCAAAATAGACGCTTTGATCGACTTGGTTCCACCAAATCACGGGGATACTTTGCACTACAAATATCCTTTTAAGGATGTTCTAACAGATGATGAGGATATCTCTGCAGCTGGAAGTGATATAAGCTACATTAGACACAGGATTCATATTGAGCAAAAAAATGTGGCGGTTGCCAAAAATGCTTTGAGGAGGGAAGAGGAAAGGATTAAGAATAAAATAAAGAAAATTGCTGGACTTGAACAACTGGCTCAGGTGAATCGTAGATTGCATAAAGATAGACATAAAAAATGGCCATTGTCTTATCAATAAATGTTACTAATGATAAAGTACATCATTGTTATGCATGACATTAAATATAAAATAAAATATTTTTGGCATGCTGTAAGTTGTAATATTCAAATAATGCATGTATGAAACTTCATTTTAGTGATATCAATTTTTGTAAGTAATTTATATTTATAATATATCAATTTTATGTATTCAAGATTATAATTTTAATTCATAAATTATGCTAAATATGATATGCTAAATTTTTTACACGATATTTGGGTATTGCATGTTCATAATTCGTCCTTTGGCTTCTTTCACCCTTTTTCACCAAATTCAAAAGTAATAATTTTATATAAAAAATATTGTTTTTAAATATATATTTATTTTCTTTATTTTTAAAAGTTCTTTATTACTCAGTTAACTGAGTCATACTCATTGAACTCTGTGAACAATTTTATGTCGTCTGAATCGAGGTAAAATTATGCTTTTGAGATGAGGTGCCAAAATATTCAAATATCTTGAATTTTGAGAATATGTTTTGTTTTTCCTTTTCAAAAGCATCAATCTAAATAGCCAATAGTCAAAGTATTATACTTGTGACGAGTGGCTATATATACACTTCAATACGCAAAAATCAGCCACTACTCCATGATAACCATGCAGTTGGTCTGGTCAATAAACAAATACATTTTTGTTGAATCAAGGATTCAAAGTTCAACACAAACTCTTACAGAATAAATTACTTATTCAATTGATTTTAAGTTTTTAATGCTAAAGACAGAAATTATTTCTTAGGAGCAAGAGTCATTAACAGAAGCAGAAGTCGAACTTCACAGAGCAAAAAGCATTTTGCAAGAAAAAACTATAAGATTGCGTCATATGGAAGCATCCCTGCGCCATATCTTGGGTCCTACATCTGGTGCTGGTAATTATTCAACGAAAAAATCCTTTGTATTAAATAAAATAATAGACTGATCAATGAAATGGATTGGAACCACTAAAGGTCCCCGAAATTGAACACGACAAATTTAATTTAGTGCACTAAATTTTCATTATTTCGATATTTGAATTTTGCATTTTTGTTGGTAATTCAAAAATACAAGATGAAAATTTAAAATGGCCAAAAAATCTGATATACTCGTATGTCTATCAGGTGGTGCAAGCTGCGACACCTTGAGTGATATATCTTCCCAGAGTTCAGGACCAGCAAGCGAAAGTGGTCCAGGAACAGGGAGTGCAGGAAAAGGATATTCGCGACCAGTGCGCATGCCAAGCGCTTTTAATCCTGCTGAAGACCATCAGGCACCCGAGCAATATCGGTACCGATCCGGCCGCGATATGGTGCACCATGGGCAGCAACCACAGCAACCCATGCCAGGTAAAAAAATTATATATTAATATAATCGATTTTCGCGAAAAAAAAGAATCATGGTATGCATATTTGTTATATTCTAGTATATTACAATTCACAATTCCGTCCAAAAAATCAAATGCCCAAAGACTTTTGTCTTGAGTGAGAAAGTTAATGGCATCCAAAGTAACATAAGTCATAAATTATGTCATACTCTCAATTATTTATTATTCCAGTTTACCCTGCAGCCCCAATGATATTATGTCCAGGATTATATGTACCCACTACTCCTCTTGGAATACCGAGCATTCAACAGCCCAACATGATGCAAACCATGATGCCAGATGGAATGCCTTATCGTCGTCCTGGTACCTCATTTATACCCCATGTGAACTCGTCACACGACTTGATTATGGAGAATGATATTAATTATCAACAAAATAATGCCAATTGGGAAGAAGGCCTGCAGTGGCTTAAGGATTGGATGAATAGGAAGGATTACGGAAACCTGCATGATGAACCAGTAAGTAAATTTTAATGGATAGCATATAAAAACCTTTGTCCTAAATGAACAATGCATTTATATTCAATATTATTGACTTTTGAGTCCTATGAGCAACGGAAATTTAATTAGAAATATAACTTCAATTTAATTTTTGATTATTTGACTAATTTGCATCATTGTTTACAGAACATTCGAATTGAACAATTCTACCCGAAGAAAACTCTTGGAGGGCATTTAAGGAAACAATCTGTTTAATTGCAGATTTAATGCTGTGCAATTAAAACTTGTTAAAAATAAGTATACTAGTCAAGAAAAAGTCAAACAATATAATATTATTGTAAGTGTTAATGATATAAACACAATTAGTTTTATAGATTTCTTATTTAATTCATATTTTTTAATAATTAATTCTATAATTGTTACGCACACAAATGTGAAATTTCTATCTATTTTCAAAAAATACTATTTATAGTTGACTATTTTGGAGTAGTCTTTCGAGATTTCTATTTTTGTCTATTCTAAAAATATGTGTCTTCTTAATAATTAATAGTTTGGGATTAAATTTTCATGACTGTGAGAAATTATAATATCTCAAAAATAAGATTGTAGGATATATAAGCACAAAGGAATTTATGCAAAAGATATTTTCAATGTTAAATGTTTCTTATATTATACTCGGTTTCAAACTTATTAAAGTAACATACAATTAGTTCTACAGTAAGAAATTAGTCATTGGTAAGAACTTTAAAAGAATTTGCTAAACGTGACTTGTACTATTTTCTAATATTTTATATTCGTAAGAAAAGAGTATTATTGAATATTTATGAATCAAGCATTTATAATGAAAGTATAAATGATGAATGTAAGGAAATATATACACATAATACCAGTTGAAACTTATTAAAACTGAAAGTAATTTACAATTATTCTTTGAAGGAATTAGTCAGATCTCATTTTAGACATTTAAACTGAAAGTAATTTACAATTATTTTTTGAAGGAATTAGTCAGATCTGATTTTCTTTTTTTAACGACTTGCAATTTATCAACCCGTATTAGTAATCTAACATTTGTTTTGTAAAATAACACTAAAAACTTTAATTATAAGAGTATACTGCTAGAGATACTCAGGGTAATTTAAAAATAAAATATAATTTGTAAGAACACAATGAAATATCTCAAAAATGGAATGTATTAAATACATAATATATTATATTCCTCAAAAAATTTAATTTGCTATATATATAATTAATAATCATTATTTATTTTATAATTTCTATATAAAACATGAGATAAAATAAAATAGACTTTAGGTCTATCTTAATAAAATAATTATTCGATCCAATATTTTCAGTTTCTCTGTTTTTAAAAATTTATGAAAGCATTTAAAGATAGTTCGAATAATTGTGTCACATTGAAATAAATATAATAGTGCAAATGAGTTTCAAACTAACATTTCGATCAATGCAAATCATTTTCAGCAAATTCAAATGTTCTTTGTCGATGTATCAAAAAACATTCATATACTATACGTAATAAACTTGTAAATGTAAAAGAATGTTAATCAAACTTTCAATCAGTAACACTGATTAGTAGTTATACATAGTATTTAATATTTAATAAAAACCCGATAATAGAATCAATATTACTTAAATATGCGCCAAAAGCATAATATATTTATGTAACCAAAATTAATTTTGGTTGAATTTGTGATAAAATGGTACCTTTTTTCAATATAATGGAATCGATTGATTTTGGAATATATAAAAGAATTCATTTGTGACTGAATTATGTTGTAACCATAATCAAGTAGACTTGAAGTACAATCATTTATTGATACAGATTATATATAGATGTTATTTTTTAATTTATAGACGAATATATTAACCAAAATTTGGCATCTGTTCCATTTAATAAATGAACGTAAATATAGATAGAAATAATGCACTGAGAAATATACTGTCCGTAAGAAATTATTTGTTTCATTTAAAAGAAGGAAATTATTTATTTATTTAAAAAATACATCTAACTTAACTTTGGCGTAGCATTGAAATTTCCCATTAACAAAATATATTAAAACTTTAATAAATATAATACCAAAGTCATGCCATAAAAATTATTGTTTAAAATGTAAAGATGTCTTATAAATATTCTAAATTATACAGATATATGTTAACATTTTCAGAAATTTCTCTGAAAGTGTTTTGAAGATGATTTACATTTTTCAGTAATTAGTAATTTACTTGATTATTATATCAGTAAGTCAAGTAAATTTTTTAATTAGAAATACCCAAAATTGTTATCTTTCAATAGGTATCAAGACTTTTTGATTATTATATTGTTCAAGGGTGTCAATTGATAAAAGTTTTCATAAAAAATAGGTATTTCTAATTATCACTAGTGTTTGTAAAAAAGAAATGTGAACTTACTGATTTAGTTAAAGATGATAACTAGTTTTCACTTATTCAGAGCACATGTTGCTTCAACAAATTCACAAAATATACTAAAATATTTTGTTCCTATGATCCTGATTCATTTAATAATTTTCTATATATATGAACTTGTTCACAAAAATCTGAAACACAAGCAATTTGAATTTAACAATATATATTGAAAAACATGTAACTTGCCAAATTATATTAACTCTCACAAAAAGATTTGAGAGATGGATCTATATATAAATACTACAATGAGCTTACTTTTATTATATTTATTTGAAGTTATTAGGCAACCATATATGATTTTAATATTTAAAGCAGTAAGTGCTTTATGTGTAAAATTAAGAGTAAACAAAGTATGTTTGAAGGATTTTTTTTTAATTCAAAAGCTAACGAGTACAATGAAACATCGATTTATTTTACAAATCGAGTGAGCATTTTCATTGTTAAACACCAGAAATAGTGTACACTGAAATAATGTAAGATCTATATGAAAATGAAAGAAACTCGTAGATCTTATTTTTTATTTATATATAAACATGATTTACAAAACAATAGGACCAGTGGTGTCTTTTCTTGCCCTTTGTTTAGCCCTAACTTGGGCAGCGATACGATCTAAATCACGTCTTCCCTGAACGGTAAGCTTGCGGCCACCATCTGGGTGTTTCTCAACCAATTTCAAAGATTCCAAAGCTTGCAATGCTTTGCGTGCAATACCTCCTGATGATTTGTGGAAATGTGAAGGAGATACTCCATTACGTTTACGTCCTCCGAACACTTTAGCTACGGATCCTACACCAATTGGTGAACGGATGTAGATGTGTCTAACTAAGGCTGCACAACGTACATAAAACCAGTCGGGGTCATAAGGAGCCAACTCCTTGAAAATTGCGGTCTTTACCAAGTCCATGTGCTCTGGGACCTTTAGTTTTCCAGATCTGTCACAGAATAATTTGAGGTTAGGATAAATTATACCCAGGTTCTGTTGATATTTATATAGAAGCTTAAATAAAACTTACTTTTTTAAGAAGACAGCGATCGCCTTGACGACCTTGTCTTGTTCAACATCCTTAAGAGTTACAGACGGCATCTGAAATTATAAAAATGTAATCAAACACACGACACACCACACAAAATACAACACGTATATAAAGTGTAAGACTTTATACTGAAAGCTATCACTTATGCACGTACTTCAAAATATTTCTAAAATACTTTTTTAAAATAAAATTATACAATTATAATACAAAGTAAACTTAATATTGATCACAATACTTAGACAGAAAATAACTTGCCTTGCTATCGCAAACGACAGAAGCGGAAAGACATTTTTCGTCAAGGCTTGCCAACACTAATTTTATTTTGTTCGCACATTTAGTGTTACCAGATCAGTTAAAAAGGAAAGGGATTAGTTGACCGGTTCCATCATAGATGGCACTGCGCAATTGTTGGAAAAGTGACTAAAAACTGATATTTGAATATCAAACCGATATTTAAATATCGGTTGCCAAATCAGTTTTAAAGCTAATTTGGCAATAATAATAAAAATCCAAATTTGTAGATTATAATAAAAAAAATTAAATCCTAGAAAGAATTTTGCAACAAATAATTAGTTTTATATTAAACGTCTCATCAGAATTCGAAAAATATATTGATTTATAGATTACATAGAAATAACATATTTTTAACAGAAATATTAATTTTAAAAATCAGATCAACTATTAAATTTAATGATACGTATTTTATTGGGTTGGCAACTAAGTAAGTGCGGATTTTCTTGTAGATTTGTAGAAAATCAAAGACATATTTTCATGGAACTAAATATAACTATGTTCTGTAATGTATTGTCCATATTGATCAATGAATTTTTGTCAGCAAAAGACTGAATCCATGTACAATTTGACACCATCATAACGATTAAATTGTTTAAATAAAATGATATTTGTTTTTATTAACTTCCCGAAGGAGAAGTTTATGTTTTTATCAAAAACTCCGATTCGCTAATTTTAAGGCTTCTCGACGTTTTAAGCCATTCTGAATCAAATGACAACAAATTTGAAAAAAAGTATGTGTGTGTTTGTATGTGAATAGATTTTTTGCCGTAAATCGACGTTTTCTCAAAAACGGCTGGACCGTATTCGAAAATTTAAAAGCCATTCTACAACTAGTATTTATCAATATTGCGCGACAATCAGCCAAGCAGTTTCTTTGCAAATAGCAGAAAAGTATAAACAATTTCGTCCACGTTTTAGCTCGCAATTCTGAATTAATTTTGAAATTTCAAAAACCGTTCGAAAGATATTGGTTGGGAATCGTGCTGATTAGTTTTTGGTAAAGATCGGTTTTCTTGTAATAAAGTGTTAAATTTTCTTGCCGATTTGTATGAACCTTTTTTCGGCAATAAATATCATGGTCTTAAAGAACATACTAAAATGTTACGGCCTTACGACAAATAGTTTAATGTTAATTCATCAAAGTTTGAGAAAATATTATAGTCCAAATTTGTGTCAAAAAATGTTTTTGTGATGTGATGGGTTAAACGTTAAATCAATTCATTGAAATTTAAAATAATGAGCTACAATTTTAGAGTTTAGAAGCACACGTGTTTGTGCACTATGATTAATATATAATTACAGTTAATTTAGATGTGTTTGAGAAAATTCTGTTGGGAAACGCAATGTTTAGATTTAATTGAAAGCGATAACTTTATTTTCGAAATAAATTGTTGAAAATTTTATCTAAATATCTAAATTTTAATTTCGATTGATTGAGTCAATTTTTACACATTTCGGGAAGTTCATGCAACTTGCCTTAAGGCTAAATGCTACTTGCAACTAGTTCTAAGGTAAAATTAAATATAATTTAGTTTAAAATATCAATATAAATAAGTTGCAAATAATAAGATATAAAAAATGTCAATGATTATACATCCAATAAGACATTTTGTACAAAAACTTTCAGCACTTTATTGCAGTTGCAGTTGGAACTGATCATGGATAAATAAACTGCCATCTTGATGCAGTTGGAACAAACCATATACTCTTCTTTTATCTATGGAACAAACCTTATGCAAGTGCATAAACACGTGTGATGGAACGAAAGTGAATGTTACGTTTAATCCGTTTACGTCGTTATTATAAACAAATTATTTTACTTTAGTTGTCATCCAAAACCATTCGAACGACGCGAAAGTTATGAGCAATTCTGATATAATCGTATATATGAACTATAGCAAAATTACGAAATAAATTTCGTACAGAAGTTGAAAGGTTGTATAAAGAAAACAGTCGCCGAAGTAATTGATATAGAAATAAAAGGTAAAGTATGTTGAATAATGTTTACCACATGTCAATTTATCATGTAAGTTAGTTATTACTTGTAATCATGTCTAGGAATCGGAATGACAATCCTGCTAATGTAGTTACTATATTTATATATTATTTACTTATACATAAGTGATCAATTATTTACGCAATTATTGAGCATACATATTGGTATTTTAGTAAATTTAATCTTTCAGTAATCATTGAAATTAGAATTCCTTCACAACACGCTTTAGCCCACAAGATTTTTGACTTCATATTTAATTTAATAGCCGACTAAAACTTGGGTGAATTTTATTTTGAAGAATCTAATTATTGTTTAAAGCAATTGTTGAACAGTAGTGAATTTATTAATTATGATAATATGAACTTAACATATTTGCTTCATTTTAATTACAATAACGATGAATTTTATGGAGAGAAATTTAGAAGTTAGCGAAATAAATGTTATAGGGTGTATATTATTATTATTATTATTATAATTATTATATTACTTTAGTATATTATAATATTAGTTTATATATTATAATAGTGTGCCATGCGTTTGATTTAATCAGTATGGCATTTTGTATGAAACATGAGAATGTGCCTTGTTTTGCCGATAAATGTATGAGTATGACTACGTTGCATTGAGTTATATTGTGTTTATTATAATTAGGCAATAGTCAGCTAGCAACATATATATATATATAATATATATATATATTAAGATAAAATTGAGATTGAAATATGAACACACTACACTCAGTTTTTTGCACAAACTTTGTTTTATAAGATTACCTATGTTTAGAGACTAAGGTTTGTCTCATCTTTAGTAATGTCAATAATTATACAGTAAAATGTAGAATTATTGACAATTTATAAAATATTAATTATAAATTATGCTTAATTAAGGATCGACTATCAACCTTCAGTTAAAGGCGTGATCATATATATTGAAAGGGTTAAAAGTTAGTAGTCGTAGATAGATAAATAGTTGATAATTTATAATTAATTTATAGTGTGTTAATTATTATACTTTTTACTGTAAGAATATATACTGAAGATGAGCCTTAATCTAAATGTCTGCAATCTTATGTAATAAAGTTTGGACAAAAAACTAGTATTATCAAATGCATTATGTTCATATTTACATCTTAATATTTGTGTGACTCATAATATATATATATATATATATATATATATATATATATAACTTAGTTACTTATTTTTGCAGAAAAATTTAGAATATCCAAATATTTCCAAAAGTTTTAATTCCATTATGATCTACATAATCGACAGTGCTTCAATTATTCAAGAAGTACGTAATCATCCATGTATATGGGATACAACAAACATTCATTATCAGAATGAGCGAGTTTGTGCTTACGCTTGGAGGCAAATAGTTTATAAAATTATGCCAAGAATACCTCCTGAAGACCATAGAAGAATTTGTGAGTCAATATTACTTGATTTTTTCATTTGCTCGAATAATTCCAATAAATTTCTCTGTACACATTAGTACATGCTTTGTTCATAAAGTAACCATCACTTTTAATGTTTAATTTTAACATGCCGACTTAAAAATAAAATATTTAAATTGTATATCAGAAGGCAGTAAATGCTCCTTCAGTAAAGTTGAAATTGTTTCATCCAAGCTATTTATTATTACTTGAAATTCTGAATTTACTTATCTATTACATATGTATATTTGCATTTAAAATATTTATTATTACAGTTTGTTCTGTTAAACGACGTTGGAGGAAAATGGTAAACTCTTTCATAAAATACAGATCAAGAAGAAAGTTGGAACTGCTTGATCATAATTCAAATGTGTATCAACATTATGATCTATTATCATTCTTGAATAAAATAATTATAAATAATCCAGATAATAAAAGGATATTCACTTATTCAGGAACAAAACCCAAATACTCAGAGTCTTTGATTGATTCTGATTGTGAAATAATTGACAGTTCAGATGATGAGAAAGAATCTGTGAAAACAAATGGAATAAAACATGAACCAGTTGACAATAATGAAAATGGTCCTGCCCAAACGGACACTGATATTTGTGCTGATGATTCAGCCTTTTTTTCATCGTTGAAACCGATTTTGAAAGAATTTACAAAAGATCAAAAAGATCTGTTTACATCAAAAGTCTTAGACGTTGCTAAGAGTTTACAAAGCATAGGAGGCGTTAACGAAACTAATGGAGAATTAGTTAATGAGATGCTGGACATCAATCGTTCTAATTAACTCAAGAATGATTTAATTTTTCATTATGATTCTAATACTGTTATGAATTGTGTAATAAGATTTTGAATACAAAGTTTACTTTCGTTTATTCCTTCATATGAAATATATTTAACTTTAGTTAAAAGTTTGAAGTTGATTTTTTTTGTATACTCTATATTTACTAATAAAATATATTATTTTCAATATAATGAAATGTTTCATTTAATGTAAGGTAATTGAAGCTATTTAAGCATATAATAATTATCATTTAGTATATTAATATACTTTAAACTTTTTATGTAAAATGTAACAAATGATATTTTAATGCAATTTTTATTTGTGAAATTAACATTGATAAAATATATTGATGTGGCAGAATTATGTTTAAAGTTCGCCACAGAATATATTACATTTTTGTATAAATTCAGGCAAAATATAAAGTATAATAGTAAGAGAGTGTAGTATTTGGCTTTCGGAAGATTGTGTGTAATTTATATATCATAAATATATATTAAATAAACAAATAAACATTTGTTAGTGCATAGAAAAG